TTTATTTTACAATTTGCTTCAAAATAAACTATTATATCCCCAAAAAAATATTTAATTTGTTGCTGCTTTCTACCCCTGCTGCTGCTGCTGCTGCTGCTGCTGCTGCTGCGGTGTATGCGGTGGTCTGGGTGGCGGTCGCGGAGCTCAGCTCGTAGATATGTTTATATTGTTTATATTTTATTTTCTTTTTTGTTTTTAATTTAAAATATTTGTTTTATTTATTTTTTTCTCTGCTTTCTCGGCTTTTTAAGGGTGGTTTTATGTGTATATACACCTGAATTCATCACCCCAGTACCCAGGCCTGTATAAACCCTCATCCATATTGAATATTTTCTCTTTAATGTTAATAAATTTTTATTTTTTTTAATTTTTTTTTGTATTTATCACAAAATATATTAATTTCTCCACCATGCAACCCCCCCTAACACCCAAAATAACCCCCCTACCGCTGCCACCGCTCAGGTGTATGTACACCTCAGATCAATGAACAAACAAACCACAGACTCACCCCACCGCCTCATGTGCTTAGAAGCATACACATGCAGGGTACTCTGGGCCACAGGCACAGCGCACGAGCAACGGGGGGCCCCCCTGGGGGCCCCCTCAGGGGCCCCCTCAGGGGCCCCCTCAGGGGCCCCTAGGGGCCCCACCTTGGGGGCCCCTCCTCTTCGCTCCTCTGATGAGGCTTCTTCGGGGTACTCTCGGGGATCTAACAGGGGGCCCCCTGGGGGGCCCCCCGGGGGGCCCCGTGGGGGGGCGGCTGGGGGGCCCCCTGGGGGGCCCCCTGAGGAGGCAGCTGGGGGGCCCCCTTGGGGGCCCCGTGGGGGGGCGGCTGGGGGGCCCCCTTGGGGGGCCCAGGGGGGGGCCCCTCGGGTGCCTGCTGAGGGGGGCCCCCAGGGGGCCCTTGGGGGGCCCCCTTGGGGGGCCCCTTCGAGGTACTCTGGGGGGGCCCCTCAGGGGGCCCCCTGGGGGGCCCCCGGGGGCCCCCCTGTTGGGGGTATGTTTGATGGGTTTGGTGATGAATGGAGCGATGGTTGTGTTGGCGGTGAAGGAGAAGTAAATTATAATATAAATGCAGCAGCAGCAGCAGCAGAAGCAGCAGCAGCAGCAGCAGAAGCAGCAGCAGCAGAAGCAGCAGCAGCAGCAGCAGCAGAAGCAGATATGCATATGGTGCAGCAGGAGATGCAGCAGGAGCTGCAGCAGCAGGAGGAGCAAGAACAGCAACAGCAACAGCAACAGCAACAGCAAC